TTAAAGTTCTGCACACTAAAGATACGTCACTCCTGACGGCAGAGAAGAGCCGGGCAGAGAACAATTGCAGCACGCTCGTCAAGTGTGACAGAAGATCTAAGCGAGGGAAGCGCCACGTGCCCCAGGGCCCGGCGTCAACCCCCGGTGCCTAAGCAAACAACGCAACCATGGAGCAGGATGACATTGGATACCCATAACACTCTGATCCCGTATCTTTGCCAACACGCCGCCGAGTTAAGTTTTAGCTTGGCGTGTTTAACTCAGCGATGACTACCGAGGCGCATATAGACCCAGCGGGGAAAATACGCTCCGCCGCATGAGTTGGCACCCCGCTGTGGCCCGTACCGGAGTGTGCTGCGCGCTACCTACATGCCCCGCCCTATATATTACCTGATCTATAGGGTGATGGGGAGACGTTGGGCTCATGCAATAGTTAGATTATAATGCCATACTCCTAAGCTTTCCCTTATGCAATAATCACAAAGTTGCCATGTATTGGCATGTAAGTAGTATGCATAACCGACCACGCATTGGACTGTGAGATATTCTCCGCAGTTGACGCAGCTTACATTAGGAGCTGTGCATTTACACATCGTATAGGCATGACCACATTTCACACAACAAATTGATGGGAACTACAGCACTAAACTGGACATATTAGTGATCTCCAGGATATTTTTCCGGACAAGGGGTAGGGCAGAGGGCGAAATGACTTTTTCTGTTCACAGAGGTGGTGTATACTTTTGGAAGGTTTGTACTTTTTTTATATGGGTGAGGATTTTGGTAGGGAGGGATGGGATTGGTACTGGAGGGGCGGTAAGAATAATTCTATTCTATTTTTGATGGACGGTGAATTATTTTGGCGGATTAGACTGGTATGTGTATGTGTGTGTATTGGGTGTTATTCATGTTGGGGATGTGGGAGGGGGGTTAAAGTTACTAACGGGTGTATTCTGTTAGCAAGGGGACATTTTGTGGGGGATTGATGGTACAGCGAGGCGGACTATTTGGAGGGTGGTCATTTACTAACAGTGGGTGTATAAGTTATGAAATTGGAAATTTCTTGATGGGAGATTTAAGGTATCCAGGATCAGGGTTGAATTTGGGTGGGTTTACATACTAATCTTTTTGTACTTTTACTTTTTCAGGCCATTCGGGGACAATTTCTGGTGTTAGGCATTATTTGATTACGGATGAGGGGATTGAGGGGGTGGGTTTTAAGTAAAGTGGGTGTCTACCTTTCTATTTTTTGTAGGAAGGGTGGACTATTTTGGGGCGGAAATCTGCTTTATAGGATGGGGGGGTTGTTGTACCTAAGAGAGTGGATTTTTGGATTGTGTGACATTTTGTCGGGAGGAATACGTGGAAGGAGGAGGGTTATACCACTAATGGATGTATCTTCTGATTTTCGCCAAGGGGGATTTTTGGGACTGGTTGTTTTTGTACCAGTTGTGATGATTGAAGGGATTTGTTGCCAGAATGGGAATTTTTGGCTCGAGGCAATTGAGTATGGTAAGTGATGGGGATTATGTGGGGTGGTTGTATAAGCAAGGGGTCGTATATTCAGTACAGGAAAGTGGGACATTTATGGAGGGAATGATTAGATGAAGGGGAGTGCAGGCGATTACGGTGGTCTACTAAGGGTGGGTTGATTGCTATTTAGGAACGGGGGATTTGGGGGGGGGTAAATTTCTGCCAGTAGGTTATGACTGAAGGGATTGGCTGAAAGTATTGGGATTTTTTTTTGCGGCATTATCTAGGATTCGTGTGTCCAGGACGAGGGGTTGTTGGGGGGCGTTGTAAACTAAGGCGGTGCGCTTATGTCAGTTAGGAAGTGTACATTTGTGTTTAAGAAGGAAAATTTTGGTATGTATGGAGGAGGGGGGTTTGTCCTACTAATAGAGTGTGGTATTTTGGTATATATTGGAAAAGGACATTTTTGGGGGGAGGTATTGGTGGTAGGAGGGGATTTGGCTGGGGGTTCGGTACTAAGGGGGGTCGCCGCTGTTACTGTTAGTGAAGGGGGTTTTGGTGGGGGTAGGTTTTTGTACCAGTGTGCGCGCTGTGTGCATTGAAGGATTATGTGACTAGCCACAGCCGCGGGACAATTTTGTGATGGGGAGGATTAAGAGGTGGCTATTGGAATTGTTTGGGGGGGGGTGTTATAAAAATTTGGGTGACTTGTATTTTATTAAGGAGTATGGGTATTTTGCTTTTTGAATAGTTGTGAATAGGAGAGGGGATTGGTTTTGGGGTTCTTGTACTCAAGGGGGGAGTGCATTGTCTGTTTATGAAGGGGTGTCTTTGGGAGTGGGACGGGAATTTGTCCAGTAGGATGACTGATTGAAGGGTATTTCGCGCTGAACAGGGGTGAACTTTTGGGGGAGGATTAGTGGTAGGAGAGGGATTTTGGGGGGTTGTACTAAACGGGGAGTATTTTTTGTACGGAAGGGACATTTTGGGGGGGAGAATTAGTCCGTAGGAGAGTGGATTTGGGGGGGATTTGAGGGGGGGTCTTGTAAGCTAAGGGGGATGGTAATTGTTAGGAGATATTTTTGGGGGGAGGATTGGTTGATCGGAGGAGGGTTTTGGGGGGTCGTTAACAATGGGGGGTTTTTGATTTCTGTTAGGAAGGGGGATTTGTGCCAGTAGGGGGTGATTGAAGGATTTGTTGTTAGAAGGGGAAATTTTTTGGGGGGAAGGATTGGTGGTAGGAGTTTAGGGGATTTTGGAGGAGTTGTACTAAGGGGGGGGTATTTCTGTTAGGGAGGGGGAATTTGGGGGGGGGGGGGGGGGTGGGTTTGTGCCAGTAGGGATTTTATTTACCGGATGTTTGTGTTGAAAGGGTAAAGTTTAAAGGGGGGACTAGTGTAGGCGAGGGGATTTGGGGGGGTTTACTGAAGGGGGGTGAATTTCTGTTAGGAGGGGGACATGTTGGGGGGAGGTTTGGTGTAGGAGAGAGGGATTAGAGGGGGTTGTAACTAAGGGGGTGTATTTCTGTTAGGAAGGGGGATTTTGGGGTTTTTTTACTGCCATATTTTTTTTTATTTTTTTTTTTTTTTTTTTATTTTTTTCTTTTTTTTTTAGTTAGGATTGGAGAAAATTTTAGCTATAGTTTGATTTTTCTTTTTTTTTTCGTGGATATTTTTTTTTTTTTTTTTTTGGTTTTTATTTTTTTTTTTTTTTTTTTTTTTCTTTTTATTTTTAGATTATTTTTTATTTTATTTTTTTATTTTTGGGGGGGGTTTTTTTATTTTTATTTTTTTATGTTTTTTGTTTTTATTTTTTTTTTATTTTTTTATGCAACGAACATTTTGTTTTACTGATTATTTTTTTTTAACCCCACTAGGGCTCTACACTTTTATTCAGCAGGATTTTTTTTTATGTCCCCCCAACCTTATTTTTTTTTTTTTTTTTTTATTTTTTTTTTTATTTTCTTTTTTCTTTTTTTTTATTGTTTTTTTTTAAAAATTTTCGTCCATCAATCATTTTTTTTATTGTTTTTACTTTTTTGTTTTATGTTCTTTATTCTTTTTATTCTTTCTTTTTCTAATCTAGTCTATTATTTTCTCTGCTATTCTATTATTGTTCTTTTTATTTCTTTTTTTTTGTTATTTTTCTTATTTTTTTTTTTTTCTTTATTTTTTTTTATTTTTATTTTTTTTTTGTTTCTTTTTTTTTTTTTTTTTTTTTTTCTTTTCTTTCTTTCTTTCTTCATTTTTTTCTTTTTTTTTCATTGATTGTTTATGTCTGGTTTTTTCTTTCTTTTTTTATCTTTTTTTTTCTATTTTTTTATTTTTTTTTATTTTTTCATTTATTTCTGACTTTTTTTTTTTTTTTTTTTTAATTCTTTTTTTCTACTTTCTGGTTCTATTTTTTTTTTCCTTTTTTTTTGTTATTTTATGTTTTTTTCCTTTTTTTTTTTTTTTTTTGTGTTATATTTTTTTGTTCTTTTTGTTTTATCCTATTCTTTTCTATTAGTTTTAATTTTATTACTCTTTGTTTTCAGAGAATTTTTCTTTTTTTTGAGTATTTTTTCTAAAAAAGAAATTGTATCTTTAAAGGGTAAAGATGTTTTTTATATTTATTTTTTCTTTTTTTTCTGATTCTTTTTTATTTTTTTTTATTTTTTTTTCTTTTTGCTTATTCTATTATTTTTTTTTTTTAGTTTTATTTTTTTCTTTATTTATCATTTTAATTTTTTTTTCTTTTTATTTTATCTTTTTTTTTATTTCTTTTATATATTTTATTTTTTTATATATTATATTTTCTATTTTTTTTTATTTTTTATATATTTTTTTAATAATTCTTTTTTTTTTTTTCTTTTTCTGTTTTTAGTTTTTTCTATTCTGTTTTTTCTGTTATATTCTTGTTTCTAGTCTATCCGATTCTTTTTTTCAAGTTGAATTTCGGAACCGACGGCTATATTCCAGCACTGATATAGTCTTTGAAGGAAATCAGCAATAATTGCAGCAAAATGTTTCAAATGTTTTTTTAAAATTCGATTGAAATTTCCGGCTGAAATTTCGATTTCTGTTTTGGATTTATATAAATTTTGATACATCATAATTTGGGAAATTCGGATACAATCGGAATCTCGGATAAATAAAAGTGTTGTCCGCATATTCAGAAGGAAACGAATTGCACTTGTCTATCCTGAATGGCGTTCAAGCTTATAGAGAGCAACGGGGAGAAGGAGGGGACGCACCCGGGCCCTGCTAGGTCTGGGAAAATTGGGCCATCAGGACAGGTCTCCTCATCTCGTCCAATAGCACGCTAGGACAGGAGGTGGTGTCACATGCAGAATAATATGATACACTGTATGGCCAGAAGTTTTGGCCCTCGCCCTCCCAAACATGTGATTCTGGTGTTTCCCCTCCCCCCATATCATGGATTCAGGTGGGCCAATCATGTGATTCTGGTTTCCAATCCCCTCTCCCCAATCCAAGGTGTTTCTGGGGCCAATCCACTCCATATCATGTGATTCTGGTGTTCCAAGCCCCTCCCATATCAGTGAGTCTGTTTCCAAGCCCCTCCAATCATGTGATGCAGGTGTTCCAATCCCCTCCATAGCTTGTATTCTGGGGTTCCAATCCCCCCTCCTTTTCTCGGATTTCAGGTGTTCCAATCATGTGATTCAGGTGTTCCAATCCCCTCCATAATCATGTGATTCAGGTGTTCCAATCCCCTCCATAGATGTGATTCATGTGGTCCAATCCCTCCATGGACACAGGTGTATACAAGCAAGCCCCTAGCATGCAGAGTCGGCGTCTACAGATCGTGGAAAAGATGGGTCGCTCTCTAGGAGCTCCATGACTCCCTGAAGCGTGGTCCGCGGATGAGGTGGCCACCTGGGCTATAATCCAGCCGTGACATTTCCTGGCTACATATATTCCAAGCTCAACTGTTATTGGGATTATAACAAAGTTGGAACAACTGGAATCAACAGCCACTCAGCCACCAAGTGGTAGTCCACGTCACATGACAGGGCGGGGGCATGCGCAGGCGAAGCGCACAGTGCGCAGATTCACCACTGGTCTGCAGAGTCAATAGGTTTCTAAATCCTCCAATCTTTGGTTGTGGCCTTCCAGGATTATGCCCAACAACCAGGGCGTAGAGAGCTTCATGGAATGGGTTTTCCATGGGCCGAGCAGCTGCATCCAGCCTTCCATTCAACAAGGTGCAATGCAAAGCGTCGAGGGCCGTGGTGTAAAGCACGGGGGAGCCACCCCGACACTGGATCTCTAGAGCTTTGAGAACATGTCTCTTGGAGTACCGATCACAACTTCTCTGTCTGTAATCCCGATGGACATGTCGTGGGTTTGGGCGTGGCCAGGAAAACGTACTTGCCTGACTGCATTGATTCCAAGTGTAAAGTTGGGTGGAGGGGGGGATTATGGGTGTGTGCTTGTTTCGCTCCGGGGGTTGCTTATTGGCGCTCTGGCTAATTTCTATTTCTACGTTGAAGGGGAACTTTCTTAAGAGGGTGATCATCTATCCGAATGATAGGGTAATTCGAGATTGGACGTAAATATCATTTGCCCACTCCCTGCATACTGGTTATACCTCTAGATTACAACAGTCTACAGGATGCCCCGCCACATATTCCTACTGTTCTCATGTATTAGCGCACTACTGGTTCTGTCGGATGGTACATCCGCTTTAATGGTCGTAACATTAGTTGTCTGATACTCCGTCTGGGGATACTGCACTTCAAAACTCGGGTTTGTACTGGCATCGTAGTAAAACCATGAGGGCATCGCATGTGTTTATATCGGTGACTACCCAAGACAGCACCTCCAAATGGACTAAATGCGCTGTCCGATAATTGTGGACTCAGAATTTCTGAAGCGTGTATTAGGAGGTTTCCCCATTTCCGTATGCAAAGTCTAATCTCTCTTATATCTGAGTAAATCTCTTAGGGCTAGGGCAGTCTCCAATGAGATAGGTCTACGTTACGACTCTTGAGAGTTAATGTGAATATCAGCTCTATTCAGAAATTATGATCCTTCCCATTTCCTTGGCGTCCAAGAACATTCTATGGATTCTGCATTAGACTACGACTTTTTCGCTACTCCTGAAGTAGACATACGGGGCCAGGTATGAGGTTATTGTCGTTACGTATTAGTCGTACACTAGTAATTCCTTTCTATTCCTTTTATATTCTTCGGTAAAATGACTGAGTGACGGTTCTGAATGTAGTTGACTAGCCAATTACGGTATCTTGGGCGAGGACATCGAACCTTATGCGAGCGGAGTGGCTACGTTTAACAGCCCAGTCTTTAACTCGGCTTCGCACTTTTTCTGATAATCACTACCTATCTCAATTTGAAGTCTAGACTGGATACTAAAAATACTCTCGACTTATCTGATTCCTATTCTATCACTCAATGACTTGCTTCGATGTTCTCAAATTGGATAGTTTCGGAAAGTTCTGAATCGAGTGTTCTCGAAATCTGTATTTGCATATGTGCTACTGGCAGAGCCTAATAGGATGATTCTTGTTAAAGTAGTGAGGGTTCGATGATTCTACTGTAAGGCTCAATCAAACAGTTATTTTAGCCATCATAACAATGAGTTGCGACCCTGATCGGGAGTACGGCGAATAGTAACTAGGACTCAACAATTAGTTAACCCTAAAACATCACCTGAATAGTCTTGTAAATGAAATCGGCGAATTTCCAATTCGGAAGGAAGCAGACACATAGGCAGGTCTCTGTGTCTGGGTAAGGTGATGCTGATGCGGTCAGCACTCCTCCTTGGCATGCGCATCAATAGAGATGCGAATGGTTTGAATCTCCGATGACCCGAGCGTTACATGGCAAAACAGCATGCGCTATATGCTCGCATCCGTTCGCTGAACGGCTACTATATACTGGATAAGTCGATCCTTGTTGCAGGTGCCGTCCTGATGCCGGTGACATCGCTCTGCCCCGCCCCCAATAGTCGTGGCACCTGGTGGGCGTTTGTCCCCCGTCCCAGCAGAGTAGATGCGTCCGCGGCCCTCCGCTAGCGGGGCGTCCCGCACAGTATGGAATTGTTTTTTATCTCTGGAGCGGGCGAAGCAGATTCCCTCCCCCGTATGAACCGCGCCGCTCAGGCAGGACCGTGCGCTTTCGATAATGACGCAGACTTCCGCCCAGCCAATGATGTCCGCAATCAAACCGAGAAATTCGCCCCTCCGGACTCAACCTCCGCAGACCGCACTCCAGGCTGACGGCTCATAATCCGACAGAGGGAGAGAAACCGTCACCGTACACACATCCCCGCAGAGCCCCCCCCTGTTACTTCACATTGCCCATCAGAGTCCCCCCTGTTACATCACATTGCCATCAGAGTCCCCCCCCTTACATCACATTCCCATCAGAGTCCCCCCCCTTACATCACATTTACCCATGAGCAGTCCACCCGTTACATCACATTGCCCATCAGAGTCCACCCCTATATCAGAGCCCCCCCCCCCTTACATAACATTCCCCCATCAATGTCCTCCATACATTACAGTCCGGTACAAAGTCCCCCCTTTTATCAAAGCCCCCATCAGAGTCCCCCCTTACATCAAATTCTTCCATCATAGTCCCCCCTTACATCACCTTCTTCCATCAGAGGTCCCCCCGCGAGTATACATGACAATTCCCCATCAGAGTCCCCCCCCTGTTTGCATCACATTGCCCATCAGAGTCCACCCCTAATATCAGAGATCAGAGCCCCGCCCTTAAATCACATTGCCATCAGAGTCCACCCCATTATATCGAGTAGCACCCCTCCACACATTCCCCATCAGTATCCTCCGTATATTACAGTCGCTATCAGAGTCCCCCCCTTTTATTCAAAGCCCCCTCAGAGTCCCCCCTTACATCACATTCTTCATCTGAGTCCCCCCTTACATTACATCCCCATTAAAAAAACAAGTCCCCCCCCGTTACATCACATTGCCCATCGAGTCCAACCCTTATATCAGAGCCGCCCCCCCTTACAATCACATTCCCATCAGAGTCCCCCCTTGCATCACATTTCCCTTGAGAGTCCCCCCCCCCCTTACATCACGGTTCCAATGAAGGTCCACCCCCCCCTTACAGTCAAATTCCCCATTAGAGTCCCCCCCTGTTACATCACATTGCCCATCAGAGTCCTCCCCTGTTACAATCACATTGGCCCATCAGAGTCCACCCCTTATATCAGAGATCAGTCCCCCCCTTACATCACATTGCCCATCAAGTCCCACCCCTTATATTGGAGCCCCTCCCCCCCCCTTACATCACATTCCCCAGCAGTGTCCTCCGATACATTACAGTTGCTAATCAGAGTCCCCCCTTTTATCAAAGTCCCCATCAAGTCCCCCCTTACATCACATTTCTTCATCAGAGTCCCCCCAGTTAACATTCACATTGCCCATCGAGTCCAACCCTTATATCAGAGCCCCCCCCTTACATCACATGCCCCATCCGAGTCCCCCCTTTGCATCACATTTCCCCAGAGAGTCCCCTCTCCCTTACATCACATTTCCCATGAGAGGTCCCCCCCTTACATCACATTTCCCATGAATCCCCCCCCTTACATCAAATTCCTTATTATGAGTCCCCCCTTACATCACATTACCCATCAGAAGTCTTCCGTACTCACATTCCCCATCAGAGTCCTCCGTACATTACAGATTCTATCAGACTACCCCCTTTAATAAAAGTCCCGCCAACGGACTCCCCTTATGAGCAGAACCCCCCCCCACACCCCTCACACAGAGTCATCTATCAGTCCCCTTAAAACACCTGTTTTTATCAGGGTCCCCCATCAGAGTCCCCCCTACATCAGGGTCTCCATTGGAGTCCCCAAAATTCCCCCTTATATCAGAGCCCTCAATAGAGTCCCACCGTATAGCATTTCCCCATCAGAGTTCTCCCTAACTTAGACAGAGTCTACATTGACTTTTCTTAGATTCCCCCTGTCACGGATCCGCCCACAACGCCAACGCCCACATCGACTAGCAACCGAGCGTGGCCTTGTGGCCGTGACTGGGGTAAGAGGGAATATAGGGGACTCAACTTTGAAATATATAAAACCGTATATAAGATCGCCGTGCTACACTTTCACAGCCCCACTACCTCTTGGCTACCACCGGGAGGAGACTCCACCCCATCCAGCTGGCTGACCACACACGGGCAGATACAAATCTTACATACAATCTGGTGCAACTGACTAGGGTTGAGCAGCTTAGGAATCACACCCTTCCTAAGAGTTCCCTCCAGTTATTTTTTCCTAGCTTGAACCCCGGTGTTATCACTCCTCCACTGTCCCCCCCCCCCCCCCGCACCAGACCCACCACAAACGGTAGCCTGCAAACCACCCAACAGTTTATCCCGCAGAACGGTCTGCTGGGACACCCCACACATCACACAGATATCTCCCGTCTGGCCCGATCCTGTTTACCTTTACAATCTGCTCGCAATCTGCCCACACACATGCAATTGCATACAGATTGGCAGATGAGCCTTGAACCGAGCGTATAAAGGCCTACAATACAATACAATCTAATCTCTCCAATCTGATCTCTCCAATCCAATCTCTCTGAGATATGAGCTGAGCTTAAGTCCCCAGGAAGTCACTATTAATTTTATGATTTAATATCCCGAAAGTAGACGGAGCCTACAATATGTAACAAAATATAAAAAGTTACAGAAATACAAAAATACAAGAAGACACACAAATGTACTAATTTACTATAAAATAAAAGGGAATGAAAAAACAGAATAAAACTTTTACGCGAGATCTATCCTGCGATGGAGCAAGTACATCGTCGCAATCCGTCAGTCAAATCAAACCCGGGCTCCTTACAAATCAAAAATGTCCCAATGCCCCAGGTACCCCTTTTTTGGGGGTTATGGACGGGGCAGGCCCTTAGTCCTGG